GCAGATCGCTTGAGCTCAGGAGTTCAACACCAGCCTGGGCAACATGGCAAAAACCTATCTCCACAAAAAATAAAAATTAAGCTGGGCATGGTAGTGCACACCTGTATTCCCAGCTACTTAGGAGGCTGATCACCTGAGCCTGGGAGGTGGAGGCTGTAGTGGGCCATGATCGTGCCACTGTACTCTAGCCTAGGCAACAGAGCAAGACCCTGTCTCAGAAAAAAAAAAAAAAAGAAATGAAGATGAAAAGATACAGAGGGACTATATAACCAGACATCATATGTCATCATTTCGAAATACCCTGAAAGCAGTAAGAAGCCACTTAAGATTATTAAGCAAAGGTACTTGGGAGGCTGAGGCAGGAGAATGGCATGAACCCAGGAGGCGGAGCTTGCAGTGAGCTGAGATCGTGCCACTGCACTCCAGCCTGGGTGACAGAGTGAGATTCCGTCTCAAAAAAGAAAAAGAAAACAAACAGACAAAAAAGATTATTAAGCAGAGGAAGAGCATGTTATTCTAGAAGCAATATGAGAGAGGCAGTTGAAGAGACTGGAGACTATAAACTAGGGGTTCATACGGGAAGACTGTATCCTATTCCATGTAAGAAATGAGCTGTAGGAATGTCAGTGGAACTGAGAAGAGATGGATTCAGGGCACATTAGGGAGATAAAACTGCTGACAGTTAACAGTGTGTTGGACCTAGGTGTCAAAGAAGAGAGAAAAGGCAAAGACAGCGTCTCAGTCTCTGACTTGAGAAACCAGATAGATGGCAGAGCCATTTCCGGAGACGGCAAATAATGGCAAAAGAGCAGATTTGGCAGCAAGATCCTTGATTTGGACCTGTGGAATTTGAGATGCCTGTGATGGAGGCAAAGTGGGTGCTTGTGGGAGGAGGAGAGGTTGCAGAACTAGGAGGAAGAGTTGAAGGAGGAATAGAAGGTCAGCCTCTTTTATACATGGCAGCAGTATTTACTAAATGCTGTATTTTTTTGAGACAGGGTCTCACTCTGTCACCTAGGCTGGATGGAGTGCAGTGGTGCAGTCATAGCTCACTATGACTTGAATTTGTGGGCTCAAATATGATCCTCCTGCCTCAGCCACTGGAGTAGCTGGGACTACAGCCATGTGCCACCAAAAAATTTTAAAATTTTTTGTAGAGATGGGGTCTTACTCTGTTGCCCAGGCTAGTCTCAAACTCTTGACCTTAAGCAATCCTCCCACCTTAGCCTTCCAAGTAAATTTTTTAATAGGTTAAAAAAAGTAAGTTTACTACAAAATTTAACGTATAAAATTCCTTCAAAAAACAAGCCGTTAACATTCAATTTGTCAGAAAGGTACAATGACCTTGCCTAGAAATGAATATTAAACTCAGTCCAGATCAAAAATATTTCACTGCTTGGAAGGGCAAATGGTAAAATTTAGTGTAATTTTGAGACTGGAACCAGCATTTACTTACATGATAATAGTGAGATAAAGAGCCAAACAGTAATAGTATTGCTTTCCCAGGAGTAACATGACAGTGGAGGCTGTTCCTTGTAGATAGAAAGAAATTAAGATGATCTTATAGTAACCAAACTTTTTCAGCCAGGACTGACTGATAAGTACAAGGCACTGAAATGGAAACAGAATGGCATTGTGTTAAGATGGAACTCCATGCATTATTAAGCTTACTCACTCTTGCTGATGACAAAATAAACGTTCTTATTGCAAAATAAATTGCTGGCGGTGACCCATGCCTATAATCCCAGTAGTTTGGGAGGCCAAGGTAGGAGGATTGCTTTAGCCCAGGAGTTCATGACCAGCCTGGGCAACATGGTGAAACTCTATCTCTGCAAATAATACAAAAATTAACTGAGTGTGGTGATGTACAGCTGTAGTCCCAGCTACTAGAGAAGCTGAGGTGGGAGGATTGCTTCAGTCCAGGAGGTTGAGGCTATAATGAGCTATGATCATACCCACTGCACCCCAACCTGAGTGACAGAGCAAGACCCTGTCTCAAAAAATACGTACTAAAGAAATTTGCTTCTGAATTATAGTATCAATTGAAACACACAACTAAAACTATCTTGCTTAGAAATGCCATTATTATCGATATATATCAAAAATTGATTATGAATAATAACTTTTTTTTTTGAGACAGTCTCAAATCTGTCATCCAGGCTGAAGTGCAGTGGCATGATCTTGGCTTAGTGCAACCTTTGTCTCCCAGGTTCAAGCAATTCTCATGCCTCAGCATCCTGAATAGCTGGGATTACAGGCAAACACCACTGTGCCTGGCTAACTTCTGTATTTTTAGCGTTTCACCATGTTGGCCAGGCTGTTCTCAAACTCCTAGGTTCAAGTGATCTGCCTGCCTGGGCCTCCCAAAATGTTAGGATTACAGGTGTGAGCCACCACATCTTGCCTGAAATGTACTTTTTACCCCAAAATCAAGCATCAGAGGAAAACAAGAGTTAACATTCTGGGTTACTGTGTCCTGCCTAACTTTATATATTTTTATCATTATAACACATTCATTTTAAGAGCTCAGACTTAGATTTTTTGCATTTCTTGCTATTAATGAAAAAGTTCATTGTTCTAGACTGAAAAGTTTATGCTAAATATACATATGTACATTAACAAAGATCAGAAGATACTCTTTGTTTTCAATAAAAAAGCACACATTGTTTATCCCTGAAAAGTTTTCACTAACCAAATGTATGTGCATTATAGTTAGAAGAGAATTTTGAATGATGTAAGTAGAATACAGATGTTCTTTAGTAAACATAAGGGTTTTTTTCCCCTGACTGATTTTTTGACTTACTTTTCTACTTGTAAAGAACAAGAGTTCATTTTCTGGATACTAAAAAACAATGGATCAGTGACTAATGTGGTCCAAGGCATTTCTTAGAGTTCTGTAAGAGGAAGTATGTAAAACACCCCAACAAGTCCAATTATATTCTTAAATATTATTACAATATTATAAAGTAACACATTTCCACATATTGAAATGCAGCTGCTGTTTCTCCATCTCTAGTACATAAACATACAAAATACAAGAAATTAATAATGTAAGAAATATGTGGTAGAGTGGAATGTGCAAGATTTTTTTAAAGACAAGGTCTTACTGCGTTGCCCAGCCTGGTCTCAAATTCCTGGGCTCAAGCGGTCATCCCAAGTAGTTGACTACAGGCACGCACCACCATGTCTGGCTGGCCGGGCGCGGTGGCTCAAGCCTGTAATCCCAGCACTTTGGGAGGCCGAGGCAGGCGGATCACGAGGTGAGGAGATCGAGACCATCCTGGCTAACACGGTGAAACCCTGTCTCTACGAAAAATACAAGAAAATTAGACGGGCGAGGTGGCGGGCGCCTGTAGTCCCAGCTACTCAGGAGGCTGAGGCAGGAGAATGGCGTGAACCCGGCGGGGCGGAGCTTGCACTTTGGGAGGCCGAGGCGGGCGGATCACGAGGTCAGGAGATCGAGACCATCCTGGCTAACACGGTGAAACCCCGTCTCTACGAAAAATACAAGAAAATTAGCCGGGCGAGGT